GCGCTCCGCCTGCGCTGGTGGGGCGACGCCTCGGCCGGGACTGTCTTCCGCGCCGGGCCCGCCCGCAGCCAGGCCTGCTTCCCCGTGCGCTGCGGGCCCGCGCAGCTCGCCGCCTACCTCACAGGTGCGGGTGCGGGCACGGGCACACGCACACATGCACTGTGTGTGTGTCTACACGTGTGTTCATGCATGTGAATACGCATACGTGTGTGTGCTAACGCGTGTATCGGCGTGGGGGGTGGCTCGCTTCATTAGTTGTTAAAGGCGCGCGTATAGATGATGTGTATGCACGTGTGTCTGAGTGTACATATGAGGGTGTAGGTGTGGAAGCAGGGGGTCCTCGACTTCATGGCTCATTGTCGCTTCCCCAGTTCCTGCTGCTCTCTCTACTGCACCGGTGTTAACGACCATCTGCTTTTTAATGGTCTTGAGATTTCTTCCTTTTGCAACCATTCTGCCCATTCACCATCCCTGGTCACATTTCTCTTCCGTTTCACAGCCCTGCTGACTGTTTTTAGCTGTAGCTAGAAACCTTCAGTCAGGCGTGGTCTGGCTAATGAGGGTGTAGGAATGATTGACAGTGTCTTGTAGGCACTGTCAAGGTGCTCGAGGGGGCTCAATTTGGTTTTGCAACCCAGAATAGGAGATGAGCAGACAAGGTTCTTTGGGTGAATCTGATGTCTTTTATTACACCAACTTAAATAGTTGGAGAACAATTTTTAAGCAAACTTTCGGCTCTAATAAAAGATATCAGATTCACCCAAAGAATTTTATCTGCCTGTGTCCTTAGACCAACACAATCTATGCCTGTGTGGAAAGGAGACATACATTTAATTACAGTGACTGCAGGACTAACCATACACTATCCTTTGACCAGTGTTTGCCTAGTTTGTTGCATTTTTTTTTTTAAACTTCATGTGTACTCGAGCAAGTAGTGCACGTTCCAGTACTTATGGTTGTTTTCTGCTTTGATCTTTAAATGAATAAATATAGTGCGAGCCCCCTGCCATATTAGCACAGTTTCTAGTTTCTTTTTAAGAAAAACATATTGTTATATGGGATGAAGTGCCACACCCTGTGCACCCCCCTTGTGAGACCCCTAGATCCACACATGTGCATGCATGCAGACACATGCTGTGCAAGAGGGTTCATGAAACCTTGCGCTACACACACACACACACACACACACACACACACACACACACACACACACACACA